ACCTCTTTTTCTCCCTTTTAACCGGGGAAAGTTGTACTGGCATTGAGTTTCAATACAGTAGGAAATATTTTTAACCATGCAGGAAATGTCTAAACTGCTCTAATCATTCTGCTCTCATGCTGACCCACCCACGCATAGACATATATACACGCATAGATTTTTAGTTTTGTTAAAAAGAAAAAAAAAACAGCAACTTTTTACATCACAAAATGAAATCCAGAGTAAAAGAAGGAGAGCTGGAGCGCATTTAACTTAATTCGATTTCATTCAGCAAACCGACCCTGGAAGGGGAGCCAGGCTGCAGATGGGAATGGGACCATAAAAGTACTGGTCTGTCAGCGGGAAGAGCAGCACCAGAAACAGCAGGCCTCCCATCAGATATGAGAAGAGCAGAGCTGAACTGTGAGGGTGTTGCAGGGCAGAGCTGATGTCAGGCAGGCCCTGACTGTTGCAAAATGAATGGCACAAAACTGGACCGACAACATGCCCTTAAAAAAAACAAAACAAAACAAAGATTTCAGATGAAATGGGTTGATTATCGTAGGCTAATGAGTGACCAAATTATTGTATAGATCACATATCTTACCAGTTCTCATGAATATAAAGGCAGTAAAAGCACCAAAAACAGTTGTGTACAAGAACTGCATCCCTGTGAGAGAAAAAAAGATGCGATCAAAGTGCTCAGTTTTAGTTTTATCAGTCCATGTCACATAAAGATGATCAAAATCAAGCTAAAAGAAATGAGTCACCTTGCTCTGATCATGACAACATGGTTTGCCTTTTCAGCTAACTGACCTGCCACCAGAAGGATGACACTCATGCTCTCTTTCCCAAGGCGTCGCTCCTCTATGACATGGTGGAAATGAGCTAAAATGAGGCAGTTGACATTAAAGGCAGTCAAACCAAATGTAATGTAACACTTGCAAACATAGATTTGGAAGAAAAAATGAGGCACAAAATGCAACATTTATTATTCTCTCCTCCTTGGTGCAGAGGAAGGGTGGCGACTGGATTGGACAAAAGAGGGTGAATATGGAGCTGCCAGGCAGGAGGAAAAGAGGAAGATCACAGAGAGCGTTCATGAATGTAGGAACTGCTGGGAGAAGAAGAAGTCTCTCGAACTTGGTGTTAAAATTTAATCTGAAATAGTTCAAATATATGCAAATATGTTTTTTTTTCTGTTTGAAAACTTTTTCACATACCAACTCCAAAGAACAGTGGAGCGGTGACGATAGCGCCTGTGGGTCCCGTGCAGGGCACCAACATAGGAAGCATGGCCCCTCTGAACACCAGCTCCTCTGTCACTGGTGCCACCACCTGGTTTCTGAGCCACACTGCGTCCCCCACACACCGCCTCCATGACTGAACATCTGGGAGAAGTGCATGAAAGCACACATGTGCAGCTCTCTGATTCCAGTTAACCCAACATAACATTCAGTTATTATAGAGACAAACGTACCCAGTGCACACTGCATTTCCCCGGTGAAGCCTTTGGGGTTGTCTATAGCAGAGTGAACCAGTGGGCCGAGATAAAAAACCTGACGTGGGAGAGTAAAACCAGTTGTTTATAAAATCTAGAGGATGTAAATAAAAAAAAAAGATTAAACTGGAAACTACAGGGTACATTTGTCAGTGAGTGGTTTAAACTCGCCCATGGGGATATTACTGCAGAACGCAGACATTTAATGGAAGTTGCAAAGCTAAGCTGAGGCCACGCTTAGCAGGAATGGAAACAAATCTCTGAAATGTCAAGCATGCCTCAGCTAAGCATAAATATATTACTGTATGAGAGAAACGGGATCTACAGATTACTGTTTGAAGCTACTGAAAAACTCATTGACTATGGTTTTCTTCATTCCTGACAAATCTTATGTTAATGATGTAAATGTAAATAAATCCTGGGTTTTCATCTGTAAGTATTTAATGTGCACTACATATAAAACTTCAGAGATATTTGTGCCCTCAGTTAAGCAATTTGAAATCAGTACTATTCTTTTCCATCTCTAATGAAGCAAAATGTTACAAATGTATGCTAAACAAAATTTATATTAATATTTTGAATGCAGAATCAAGTTAATCAGATATGGGATCCCCTGACTTACCATAGTAAGTAACAAAGGTAATATGGATGCAGCAACCAAACCGTCCATGCGAAGTCCCATCAACTCCCACACAGACACGTCCGCCTGAAAGGCAAAATGTGTTTTAGAAACCGTGAGAATGACGTTTAAACGAGTCACTGAAGTGAAACGAGTCACCGAACTTCATGTGGCCTTCAGATTAGCTCAAGAACAGCGTGCAGAGAGTTTCATTGAATGGGTTTCCATGGCCGAGCAGCTGCATCCAAGCCTCACATCACCAAGAATAATGCAAAGTGTCATATACAGTGGTGTTAAGCACTCCGCCACTGGACTCCAGAGCAATAGAGACGTGCTCTGTGGAGTGATGGACAATCCGATGGGTCTGGGTTTGGTGGTTGTCTGACTGTATTGCGCCAAGTGTAAAGTTTGGTGAAGGGGGGATTATAGTCTGGGGTTGTTTTTCAGTTGGGCTGAGCCCCTTAGTTCAAGTGAAAGGAACTCTTAATGCTTCAGCATATCAAGACATTTTCATGCTCCCAACTTTATAGGAAGAGTTTGGGGACGAGGGCGACTCCTTCCTGCTCCAACAGGACTGCGCACCAGTGCACAAAGCAAAGTCCATAATGACATGGATGAGCAAGCTTGGTGGGGAAAAACTTAACTGGCTTACACAGAGTCCTGACCTCAAACTGATGGAACACCTTTGGGATGGAAGAATGGTCAAAAATTCCCATAAACACTTCTTCTGTGGAAAGACTTCCCAGAAAAGTTGAAGCTGTTATAGCTACATCATAGCAACATCACATTAAACCTTATGGATATTTCAAGTTCAAGTTGAGTTTGAAGAAAAACAAGCAAATACTTTTGGGAATATTGTTCATAACATTTAATTTTAGATGAGCAGTAATCACAGATTTGATTTGATTGGTATAGAATACTGATGGAAAAGATCCTTTACAAAGGTAACAATCGGGACAAATAAACAAACAGATACAGAATTGAACGATAGGTGGAGTTTAAATTGTCACAGAGTTGAGTTAAACTCATATTGCTGAAACTTGTCGGGTCACAAGGTAAATCCTCCAGGGGAAATGTTACTATCTACAGTATACTCACCTTGACATCAGCCCAGTGTATCCATGTCTTCACAACTGCAGGTGACACTACAGAGACCAGCAGCACACTAGCACAGCGACGCTTTATCACACTGGGATGATCCCTGCACGCACAGTTTAAGTTTAGTTGTCTGGCCTAACAGCACTTCTCTCATGCCTGTTGGTGAACTGTATACCTTGGTGAGCTGCTTCTCCAGACGTACAAACTGCCAACGTAGAGACCAGCCAAGAATAGGCAGCTCAGCAAACCCAGAAAACACCTCGGGTGGGTGTTCTCTACCTGCATGACAAACGTGAGGGTTTGCAATCACAACGTCAGCTGGTTCTCCAGCTAAGCGGCGGCTAACAAAGGAGTGCAGGTTCACCCCGCTTTGGATCGGCTCGATCCTGTCAGTCATTTCAGATTAGTGAGTCCTGGTGATTAGCTGATTAGCTCTAATGCTCTATGAAGTCCAGTAACTGCACGCAAAAAACAAGCTCATTCAGGTAAACGGTACGAGTGTAAACAAGACTACGTGCAAACAAACATAATACATAACAGTAAATATTCAGTTTTGGTTATGACTCAATATTTTTATACTAGGGTCAGAGATAAAAAAAAACAAACAAACAAAAAAACAGGTGAAGCTTAGCCTCTCCGTGCCAGTAGAAGTAGTTGTGTAATTGGAAAACAAACATGTAGCCATCATAGAACACGAAAAAGCTAGTTCCCTGACCGGGAATCGAACCCGGGCCGCGGCGGTGAGAGCGCCGAATCCTAACCACTAGACCACCAGGGACATGCAGGGGTTCGTTATTCTGCACCTTACATCCAATCGCATACGAAAAACGATTTTCATGCCTCTATTAAGATCTTTTGGGGCTGTATCAGTTCACATTTGCTCTTTGCTGTGTTCGTGCAGTAGTACTAAACAGTGGCTCTGACTTATAAATTATTTTATTAAACTTATTTTTGTGCTTATTTATCAGTATCAGTCTACACGTCAAATAGATTATACAATGCCAAAAATATATAGTTAAGTGTATATATTCACATTTTAATTCATCATTATCTTTGGTTATATTGATAGTCTGCAGTCAGCAGGATTTACGAAGGTCTTATAAATAAAATAAAGAAATTACATGTTTTGTAAGAATCTTTATGACTCTGCGTTATTGTATGTACTTCTGTGTTCTACATTATAATCAATCCAATCGTTTTTGGCACTTAAAATATATTTATACAACTGTTATGTTATGGTTGTTGCTTCCCTCTTTGCCAGATCTCTTCTGAGAAAGACATCTTTTATGTTAATGAGAGTATCATATTCATAAATAAAGCATAAAAAATTGCCAGAAACTGATTGCAGCTTCTACTCTGTGACAGAAATGATCTTTCTGGCTTAAAGTGGCTCGATCCCATTCACAAGAGATATATTTGACATATGTTTTACATATTAAAGGCCAACAAGTCATTTACAACCGTTTAAATACCGCCAATCATAAATACTGGAAATCACTTATTGGCAGACGGTCAAAGCTGGCCCACTGGACAACTTTGGAAACTTTAAAGAAGAGCATACATTTTGGCCTTTTAACTAAAAGAAAAAGGTTGTTTTTTATGCATAAACAATAGCTTTCTGTTTTATAATTACAGGGCAGTCTGGGAAATAACTGTACACTGTTAAAACTGTTAAAATTACACTTTCCCCCCTTCTTATGTTAAGATATCTCAGAGATCACATGTGTAGTTAAGCTTCTCTACACTGGTCCAACCAACTTAACCCTAGTGGGCTGTATGTGGCCCATGATGTAAAATGAGTTTGACGTCTTTGGCTTAACAATTTAAGTAATTTCCTCACAGCTGGATTGCCAGTTGGAGATGCATTACCAAACCTCATTTGAGACACACCAAGCAAGGTAAAAACAGATATTTACCCTGAAGTGTTGTTAAATTTAGATTTCAGCTGTATTGATCACTATCCAGCAATGTCTGTTTTGTGATCACTGCAGCATCACATTAGGGGATATTTTTGTAGCGTCCAATGCCTTTATGCTATTTTGTGCACAGGGTGATTTTAGCATGTTACGATTATACATTAGGATCATATTACAGTTACTGCCCTGGGTTACATAATCTATGAAGTGTGATGAAGACTAAGTGATGAAAACAGTCATGACAGATGAGCAACCAGCCGATATGTTTTTATTTTCATCATCACAAACATCCTCAATTCATTAGACGCAGCTACAGTATGAATACATAGTGGCGCTGTGGAGCACAGTGCCACTTTATTAGCACACCTCCATAAGCATGCATGCAGTAGTCGACACAGAAATGGAAAGCACTTTGATTTCTGTGAATATTGCAGACGTGAGCAACCACATCCACAAAGACTGCAAGTTACCAAGGTGTAACTTTAGGCTGGAAACATCTTTGAGCTCCATGAGGCTGCAGGAGGTCATCCTGAATCTGAAAACACGTATCCTCCGCTAACAACATTGGGCATTCGAGTCCAGCTCATGACTTACCACATACTATTTTGATATCCAAAATGCTCGGGCGTGTTTATGGACTTTTTCCTCGGGGAAGTGACAAGTAGGGTGACATTACTAGAAACCTGCAGATTACAAACAACTGTAAACTAAACTTCCCCTCAAAGCTGCAAATATTTTGGCCTCGTCTTTCACAATGGAGAATAAGCCAGTGTTTGAATACTGAAAGTCACAGATTAGAAACAGAAACACACAAAAAGCAAATGTGCAATAGATGTAAAACAGTCAGATACATAATTTAAATAAATAAAAATAGGTGAAAAGAATCAATCAATACTTATATATTAAGACACACTTAAAATAATGAACACTTGAATTTCTTTTTTTTTTTATCAAAGAAAATGACATATTTTTTGCAGTGTCAAACTCAGAGCAGTCCTCAAGGCACTTTAAATACAAGAAAATACAGAGCCCCAGCATCCTTAAAAAAACAGCTTTCGATTTTTAAAAAAAGTACTCTTTTGGGGCTTTGGAGTAAAAGCCGTTTGTGCTTGTCCTCACTCGTCTCACTGTAACACACATTTTTCTTTGTTGCTGTATTTTCTCCTCCTCATTTCGAGACCACGCTCCAGACGCTCATCCTCCTCCAAGGCCCTGCAAACACAAAAACACGGTACGGTGCTGAGCTCATGGATATCTGCACCCCTCTATCATAGATAGGCATAAAGATCCAAATAACAAACTAATCTCTTTTGTTTTTCGGATGTATAATCTTCCTGTTACCCACTTTGTCTCTTTCACATAACCCTACATATACTGACCGTCTCTCCTTGGTGTCGATATCCCTGATGATCTCGTCCCTTTGGTTGACCAAAGACACCAGCTCCTGGAGGAGCAGCTGCTCCCTCTGCTGCTGAGCGGGTGACTTCTGCCAGTCTGCACAAAAAGCAGCACTCAAAAAGATCAAATTCATTGTGTTTTAATTTTTTTTTACCATTTAGATTTGTATTACTATCTGTAAATCATTTTGACTGATATTGTACAGATTACTTGTTTCCACTATTTTAATGACCTTCAATAGCCATGATTACGCGCAGTTCTCTGGTCAGAAGGTCAAATCTCCTCTCCAGATCCTGCTCCTCTTGTCTATAGATGCAGTTAAGAACGAGTCGGTTTAAAACAAATGTAAAATATACGTATATGAGAATGTGTATACTGATATGTGGGAGGTCTTACAGCAGTTCCAGGTTGTCTTGTCTGCGGATCAGAGCGTTCTTCTTGTTTACCAGAGTGAACCACTCCTGGATCAGTCTCTCCTCTTCATCACGGTCACTTCCTGCAACAGCAGAGAAAAGACATGAAAGCCTGTAAATATTTGAATACAGATAAAGATAAAGATCATTAAACATAAAGATCCACATGCAAGATACTATTTAACAACAAAAAAAAGTGTAAACTAGACAGAGCTGGATCTGGAATTTACTTCATTATAATCACAAGTAGAAGGCAGGTTAGTATCATGGCTGAGGAGGGTATTCATCTGCATGCAGGTCAGGAGATTTAAGGTTCGGTTCAATTTAGTTCATCTTTTTATGCATTTACATGTAGATTTTTTGGTGTCTTATAGTGCCACCTTCCCCTCTTACAAGCACTTGGTGATGTTGGAGAGGAAGAACTCCCTTTTGACGGGAAGAGACCTCTAACACAGGCCTGCTCCTGACCTCCTTCAGTAAAATATATACATCCTGTCCTTCTACTACTTCCTGCAAAATACTGCATTAATTCTAAGATTCATCTTCTTACTTTCAAGTCTCTCCATAACCCTGCACCTCTGTATCTCACCGATCTTCTGCACATTGTCACAGCTTGCTCTACTCCACTCAGGGATCCTCCACCTCCACCATCCTCTGTTAGACCCCAGTTAGAGCTTTCAGACGATTGTCAGCTTGTCTTTGAAACTCTCTCCCACACCACATTTGCAAAATTGATTTTCTCCCAATCTTTAAAGCCAACCTTCAAACACATTTTTAATATTGTTGATTTTTTTCATTCTCTGATGTGTTTTTAATCGCCATATACTCGATTTTGTTATTTCGTTGCTTGTAAGATGTCCTTGAGTGCCCTGAAAGGTGCCTATTAATACAATATATTATTATTATTATTTTATTATTATTATTAACAGAACAATGTTCAGGGAGGTCAGCCACCTGCTATGACCAGGGGATAGGGAAGAGAAAACAGGAGTAATCCAGTGATGACACATAACTGCAACCACTTAATCAATGCAAAAGTCCATTGGATTAAATCTGCTTAGTGAATTCTGCACCGTTCACTTCTTGCTTATCAGAGGTTTAATTAAGTGACTCACCTGTTTCCATGAGACTTCGCAGTCGTCTCTCCACCACTGCAGCTCTGCTGTCGATGTGCTTCTGTTCTGTCTCCAATGCTGCCAGCTCACTCAACACATACTGGCTGGTGTCCTGCAGAGACTGACCACAAGCCACCATCATACACGTACAAAGACACGCAGACGAATAGAGGCAAACACACACAACCACACACGAACATACAGAATGACAACAGAAAGCCACAAACAGAGGAAGAAAAGAGATCAACAGAAAGAGGGGGTCGGACAGCAGAAAGGGGAGGGGGACATACGAAGAGAAGCAGAAGAAGAGGGTCAAAAAGATTAGAGAGGTCAAAGGATGGAGAATATAAGATGTGAATGATGAACTGGACAGCTGTTATTCAGTACTTTTTGGAGCCATCAATTAATGATGATGTGAGAATCAAAATGATATAGAAATGAAATAAAGAACAGAAAAGGGGAAGAACACATGACTGACCATTGTTTCCTCGTCTTGTTTTGGAGGCTGGGGCTCATCTGCACGCTGAAACTCTGCAAGAATTGAAATACACAAATCAGAGTAGGGAGTGAGGGAAAGAGTGCTAAAACAAATGCTTCAAATGTTAGAAAAGGCTTACTCTGCAGGCTCATACCTGTATTACTCGTGTTTTCTGTTGCAGAGTTAGACATTGTATTTTCATCCTGGAGAAGAAATATAAAACTTTCATATAGCTACAGTAAAGCAGATGTATAAAGTTAAACAGAGGTGAAAATGCAAAGTAAAAATTGAGAGTGTTTCACGTATTTTTTGGCCTGAAAAGTTTGTTTGCTGATGGAAATAATAAAGGAAGAAAGACAAAGTGTTACCTGAGCCGGCCCAGGCTTGACTACCTTTGTAAGAGACCGTGGGGGCGGGACTGGAGTTATGGACTCCTCCACTAAAAGCAGGACAGACAAATGATTACATGTTATATTTCTTTAATTGTTTTAAGGCCTCAGAAAACTTGGTACAGAGTATTTATCCATATGTACTTAATCCAGTAAAATGAAAAGCCAAAGAAAGAACTATCAAAGTGAAAGTAAAACATGTATCTGAATCTGCTCCATTGACACTTTGTGGATGTCTGTGATTACCAGGAGCCACAGCAGAAAATAATGCCCTAATGGTCATGACATATTAAATATTACTACATCGTGATTGAAGCACAGATGTACATGACATCACTTACTGGATGTCCTAACTGGATGCCGACCAGTCCAAACCATTGATAACAGCACAGGAGGGAAAAAGGCTGAGACGGTTTTCTCACATATGAACTCATCAGAACTTTTCCAACTTTGACAGAACACGCAGAGTTCATGCCAGACCTCATCGCTCATGAATCTATTTGAGATAACGTGTCTCCAGGGACATTCAGGAGTTTTAAATAAGAATAATAAATTTCACAGCTATTCTACTGGGACTAATATTTATAGCCAAAATGAATATTAAATACATTTGCACTAAAAAGGCACATCTGGTATCTCTGGGAACCAACAAAAATCTTAAGTGAGGCATTGTGAACTTGATTTATTGATCTGTTTTCTGTGCCTCTTGTCGCCTTAGCTCTAACTTTGCTACTTCACATTCCTAAGTTACCCTGGGAAACACTAGTGTTTCCACCTTTGCTCCTTTCCTTTCTGCTCTCCTCGCTGTTTTTGCTTTTTTTTAACCCAGGTTTATGGTGTGAAAGGGCTTGCATAATAAAAAGTTTTTAACTATGCCTGCACAGTTTGTTATGGTAAGACAACAGAAACTGTAAAAGTTCCAAAAAGCCAAAGTGGGCAAAATTAACCTTATTTGGTGAATATATAATAAAATAATCATACAGAGGGAATAATACTAGTACCTTTAAGCTGTCGTTTAGCTCTTGGCGGCGGGACCACCAGCGTGCTGCTTCCTCCCTCTTCTAGACTCACTCCTTCATTTAGTCTGGCCATGCAGAAAGCAGCAGCGTCCACATTCGTGGGAGTCGGGCCGGTGAGAGCGATGCCGTAACTGGACTTACTGCTGTTGTGCTCTATCTGCAGCACGCTCAGCTCCTGGTTGGTGAAGTGTGAGCGGATCTGGCTGAGGTAGGTCATGACTATGAGCCTGTCAGGCACGGACAGAAGGACCATGTCTGACGGCTCCAGCAGGCGAGAGATTCCCAGCGCCTCGAAGCCATCAAACGCCTGATGTTGTTAGGAAACACAGGATTACAATGGGAGATGGCAACAATTGCCCTAGCAACACTCTTTTAATAGAACAGCAGAATATGTGCTCTGGAGCAAAGCCTGGAAAACTATCATTCAGGACCACTTTAAAAAATACAAGAACGTCTGGCTGCTTGTAAGCAAAATATAAAGAAATAAGGGGTGGGCTAAGAATTATACTTATTGCTCTGGGTGTTAATCGTCAAACATCTCTGACTATATTGCATGAAAAATATTGATCTAAAAGTTACCAGAACTATGTCATCATCCTTTCATGTGGCTGCAAAAACAAACTGATGGCACAGTGCACTAAACAGCCAAGAGCTAAAAACATTAAATCATGCTCACCTTTTTATTGTTGAGTTTGATATCATGAGGGTCCAACTGGTCAAAATCTCTAATGGCACAAAAGCAGGAACAGAAAAGTAGCTTACAACATTAAGATGAACAGTTTAGTTAATATTTATAATTTCTAAAGAGAATCTACTCAAAACTAGTAACTTTTGTGTAAAATGTCGTACATTTTGTCTGGATGGAAGTGGTGTAGGATGGCACAGAAGGCCAGCCCATTTCTCCAGGAAGTGCTGAAGTTTGTGACCTTTACCCCCTGGTACCCACTAGTGATGCTCTGACACCACTCGAGCAGCGACTGGCTGGAGTTCACCAGATCCTGGAGAAAGAGGGAAAGAAATGTTGTTTCTGTGCATCTATGCAAATGAAAAGCCAAATACTTATGATGAGTAAAGTAAAGTATAAAGATGAGTATTCATTAAATTTACCTCAGCTGTGTCGTCCTTCCCATCAGCCTCCTCCCGGACCACTGTAACAGGATCCGGGGTCCTGGGGTCAGAGGTCTCTTCTTCTTGTAAAGTAGGAAGACGAGATGATATGATCTCACAGTGATGGACTGTGCTGGGCGAGTCTTCTAGCTGGAATGGTGGTTTCTTAACTACGTCATCAGGGAGGTCAGCCAGCTGGTGTTTTGGCCTAGGAAAAAAAAGATATATGATGTGAAAAAAGCTTAACTTAGAAGAAATGAAGGAGGTTATCGATGCCGTTTCATCATTGCCATGTGCAATTTTTCAGATTTGACATGCAAGCTTGCCATGATGATGATGATGAACTGAACAAACTCACGATGTTAAAAGAGCGTGATGGAAAACATACAGCAGTCGTGTGATTTGCATCAGGATTTGCAGCATGGTTGCCTCAATGCAGGCCTACGCTTTTGGCATTTTATGGGCATACACTCATTTTTAAGCATCTCAGTTTGCCTTTTTGGGTCACATCACCCATGTGTGACCTAAGCAAAAGCCTTAAGCCAGCTGGTTGTCATCAGAGCCTGATTTTGACAGATCTTGCAAGCCTCTTTCCTCACTGTCACTCAGCCAAGCATACATCAAACACCTGACACATTTTTTTTAGTTTAAATAATCTTGCTGATTATGATGGCCTTGAACACACTCCCTTCTTTTTGTTGCAAGTTTTAGCGATTTGTAACAAAATGGGGTCTCATCCGGGATCTGCACCTAGGGCCTCTTTTCAGCATTTTGGTGTAAAATACTCTTTGAACATAAAGTTGAAAAAAGTGACCTCTAGAACAGCCACATGCACTCATGTGTACAGATACACAGACTACACCAGAGCTTGTTTTTTGGGGTTCAGCCAAGTTCAGCCAAGAAAAGACAACATTAGATCTCAGCACACAAAGCTGTACTAAAACATTGTGCTTTATAAGCCAAGTCTCAAACGAGTTGGTCTAATAAAACAGGACAAGATAACAGCCTATCCTGACTTACGCATTTTCCTCTGCCTGTGGCTCTTCTGTTTCAGTTAGTGATATTTCCTGCAGGGCATCAAAGCTGGGAAAAACTAAGTGTTGATTGACAACAGTGAGATCTGTGGCGATGTCCAGTTGTTTTTTTGGCTGCTCGGTGTCACAGTCAATATCCCCCGGGGCCGGGATGAGTCGTTTCATATTGTGAATGCTGGACACCGGGGATGAGTCACCTGACATCAGGCGAATTTTAGCCAATAGGAACTTTTCCTCTTCTTGGAGTTGTTGGTCTTTGGAGTGACTCGTGCAAAGGTTGTTCATTTGTGCACTGTCACTCTTTTGGCTGTCACTGTCACTCTTGTTTAAACTGAAAGTCTTGGAGTTGTTCACATCTTCCTTAACCTTCATTTCAAGACTTGTGTGTGATTGTGTGACTGTATTTATTTCACTATCTACTTTAGTGACGCTCATGTCTGTGTATGTCTTAGTATGTTTTGTATCAGACTGTATGTTGGAAGTGCTTGGAGGGAGAGGCCAAGGAACCACTGACGACTGAACAAGTTCTCCCTCCTCATCAGCTGCTACCTCAAGGCTATGGCTAGTATTTGTAGCAACAGCTTTTCTCTGTCCTTTTAGCAGCTGTTTCTGTGATTCATTAAGTTGGGGAACGGGTTTATTCCTCACTGTCTGATTGACTGATATCCCCTGCTGAGACACAGACAGAGGGTTAGGATGTGGACTGTCTGTTAGACTGGTTAATGACTCAAGAACTTCTGGCTTATTTGGCTGACTGGGAGCAGGGCTCTGGTAAAGTGTTTGTTGGCTGAAAACAATTGAAGAGGACTTCTGGTTTACAGCTGGGGAAGGGTGGCCTGGTCTGAAGACAGAAAATCAAATTTCAGATCTCGTGTGTTTTTCACAAAACTCAAGAACCACAAACCTAGCCAGCATCCTTTTCATGCCCCATTCCCTTTCTTTGCAAACACACCTTCATTCATCTCAAGCAACCACATATTTACCCTTTAGAGATCACAAACATCTAAAGATTCAAGGACAAACATTTTGATGAACTAAGGGTAGTGCATGGTGGATGTTAAAGCTCACTGTGCTTTTCCAGCTATTTTTATGTCATTCCTTGGACATCTTGTTAGGAAAAGATTTTCACAGAGAGTCCCGGAGCATTAGTAGAACCAAGGCCTAGCAATGAGATTATACTAGTTTTGACTTTCTCTAGCCTCGAATGCATCACAGCATCTGAACATCAAAACAATCAATGCATCCACGCCACTTGACATTCTGTGAAGCTGCACTGATTACAGAACTATGTAAGTAGACGTGTCATATTCATGTAGACAGCAAAAATAACTCATGCAGTAGATGCACATACATCCATTGCATGCTTTTTTATTTTCATGCTTGCAAGATTTACTGCTACACATTTGTCTAAACAACAACTGAAAGCCTATGGTTAACTACTAAAAGTTCATATTTGCAATTTTTCCATAGATTTACAGGAGACTATCAATGGGCTACACTGACACTGAAACACTGAAAGATAACATAATCTTAACTTTGATTATTACCCTCCTCAGTTTACAGTAAATGGAAATAAAGAACTGTTCAACTGAGTAGAAGCGTGCTATGTAAGTACCAGTCGACTCCAATAAGCATGGAGTTTAGGTCACAGTGAATTAGGAAGCTGAGGAGAAGATGGGACATATATGAAGTGTTTAGAGCACTTTGATATCCCACATAAGTCCATAGCCAAGGCTGTTCTTTGTCTGCTCAAATAATACTAATAACTCTAACATTAATCCAGAACAACAATAATGGTCTAATGATGTTCTTTGGAAGGTTGCATGTATGATTCACATGCAAATACATGACTCTTTCATAAGAAGGACATGCACGGCCAGGCCAAACGCTCAGTGGGGTTTAACTAACGTGATTTCCCCCGGAGTTAAAGAAAACACAGTCCAGAGATCCATTAGAAGCAACGAGCACAACTCTCTCATCTCAGCTCTATTTACTCACCTCTCTCCCTGTGGCTATTTATCTCTCCCATACCCCTTACTCACCCTGCTTCCCCTTCCATGTACAGCTCAGCCAGCCAGATGGATCCAAGATCTTCCTGTCCCCTCTCATATGATATTTCCTCAACATCATCCTCTCTCAGCCACTCTGGGATGGCTCCATGTTTAAGATAGGATTTGCCTTTTTTAAGTGATTTGAAGCCAGGATCATCCATGGTTTTCTTAACAATACAAACATAGTCCTCAGCTTTGCTGGTTTTAGTTTTGGCTGCAGGGGCAGAATCAGCCGGTCTGGTCAATACTTCAGCATTAGATATTACGGTGTTTGCTAGTTCAGGATCAGAACTGAATCCTGATTCCTCATTATTACCTTGTGACCTCCCATCATATGCAATATCCTCTAATTCTACCTCCCTCAGTGGCGGACAGTTGTTTTGTTGGCTGCTATCCACTTTTTGGTTGACTTTTTCTAAAGCAAGAACAGGAAGGGCCTCTGTCCTCCACTGTGGGGTTTCTCCATAGTTGTCCTCCTTTCCTTTTCCTTTCTTCTCTTTTTTCTTTACTTCCTCATTGACATCCTTTCTCTGTTGCTTTGTGTCGGGCTCTGTTTCCCTTTTCTCCTTATGCTCATTCCCTTGCCTTGTTTCTTCCACTCCATTTCTTTCTTCCTTTCCCTCTTTTATCCCTTCTCTCTCACTCATCCTCATCTCCTTTCTCCCTTTTTCCAACCTCTTTCTTGCCTCTTCTTTTTCCCTCTCCAACCTCTGTTTCTCTTTCTTTGCTTCCTCTTCCCTCTCCTTCCTGTCTCTCACTTCCTTCTCTGCCCTCTTGATGTTTTCCACCTTTTCTCTCTCCTCTCTCTCCCTGTTCCCTTCTCTTTCTTTCTCCTGTTCACTAGCAGCTCTTCTCAGAATTGCCACCAGATTGTGTGCCTCGTTTAAAGATGAGCACTCTTTTTTCTGAGTCTCAGAAACTTTTTCTTCTGCAGTCGCCTGACTCTCTGCTGTGTCAGAGAAGTCTGTGGGTGGCAAAATGTCCACATCAATGGGAATCGGTGGATCATTATCCGCCTCAGAGGAACACAAGATCTCCGGAGCTACTTCATGTAAACATGGCTGGAGTTCATTATTTATAAGGTGGCATGGCTGTTTGATAGAGGGTTGCGGTTGACCTGCAAGAGTCGATCCTGATGTGTTCAGGATGGAGGCCACTGTCTCGTAGCTAAAGGGCAGATACGAACAACAGGAAAACTGTGAGACAGAGCTCACCCGAAAACGACCTGCTTCATGAGCTCTGAACACTGTGACAGAGGGTCAGACAACATGCTTGATTAAAAATAGTTCCTTCCCAGACTTTGTTTTGGTGCTTTTCCAAAATGCCGTGCAAAAGCACCCAAAAGAAACACTGTTTGCTACAGCGAGAGCAACTCTGCACAGCATACCGATTTTTCTCTTTGACGGGATTAGGAACAAGTGAAATACTTTCTGGTGGCACAGAGCTGAGAGCACAGATCGGCCCACAGACAAGCCAGCAGCTACATATGCAAGATGAATCCTCAAAGAGCCACTCAATACTTAAAAACCACATTGGCAAAGCCAGCCCACCACATAATCAAAACAATCACAAAGATCCACTGGATGGTGCATTCTCCAGCGATGGATGCTTTTATATGCAGCCAGTTTAAATGCCACGAAAGCAGTTAATAAACATCAAAATGTTTCAGTACTTCACTGAAAGTTGCCACGCAGCAACTTTTTTAGAGATGAGGTAATAATGCATTAACGTGTAGGCTCTTACATAATGAGGTTAATGTATTAAATGTTTTACCTCGTCTAATATTTCTTCGGTCTGTTACACTACCACCCTTCATTTCTTTACATTTTGCTTCCAAGGAGCTAGAATTTTATTTTTTTTGTGTGTGTAATTTTTAAAATCATGATGAGCAATAGTTAATAGTTCGTTTTTTAACATATCACAACACTGACCAATGAATCACTGCAGCATAAAGAAGGATCCTAACTCGAGGGATGAACCAGCGTTAGTGTCTACCTCTCTGCACTGAATTATACTTGTTATTAATCTCTGGCTGTCTTCCACAGCATGTCTTTTGTCCTGTCTTCCCTCACTCATCCCAGCCAGTCATGGCAGATGGTCGTCCCTCCCTGAGCCTCGTACTGCCAGAGGTTTCTTTCTGTTAAAAGGGAGTTTTTCCTTTCCTCTGTTGCCAAAGTGCTTGCTCATATAGGGGGTCATATGATTGTTGGGTTTTTCTCTGTATGTATTATTGTAGAGTCTACCTTACAATATAAAGCGCCTTGAGGGAACAGTTGTTGTGATTTGGCGCTGTATAAATAAAATTGAATTGAATTAGACAACAAGAACCAATTTTAAATGGTATCTTTAGGGGCTTTGTTAATAGCAACCCGTTGCAATAAAAGCATATCTGGATAGAAAAACACACAGTAGAAGTCCACACAGTAGCACACACACACGGACACACACAGAGAGACTCACCCTCTGTATAACACCCCAACTACTGCTGACATGAAACCAGCAGGCGCCTCCCTCTGCTGCTCTGCAACACACACATCTGCCTCTGTGTGCGCACATTTCTCAGCACTACCAGACACACACACACACACACACACACACACACACACACACACACACACACACACACACACACACACAGGTCCATTATATACTTGTGTAAAGCTCTCATCAAACCGCTCCATTTGAAATACCACTGCAGCACTGACAGAGGTCAATATAAAGAAAACAGCTTCAGGTGAGGTTAGTTGCAGTTGCTGAGTAAGCACTTGATAGGCTGCAGCACCCAGAGGAACGTTAGCCATTAAAATGCGCATGTGGTGTCACGCCATGCAGCAAACACTGCAAGCAACCATCGCTGACTCACCCCCCTATTACACCTTCCTCCTCTTTCAGCTTCTCCTCCTTTGCTTCCTTGCTTTCACTACTTTCCATCCCTTTTTCCACTCCTATCTCGGTGGTGGTCTCCTCCACAGCTGCCCACAGCTGTTTTTCTGCCTCGCACACTGGGTCCTTATTGTTGATGAAATGCTCGTGACCACCAGGCACGGCATCGGCTGGTTTCTCCTCATCTGCTCCCTCCTGTTGTGGTTTTCCTGATGGATGAAGATCTCGTTCCGGCCGCAGTTCTGGTTCTGGTTTTGGTTTCGAGGGCTGAAGTGGCTCCAGCGCCAGAGTCACATGCTCTCCAGCTTCTTGGGGGGGAACCTCGACTGAGGGTGCTGATTCCACCCTGGGTCCCTCTGGCTCTTTAGGCTCCTTTTTAACTGCCGGTGCGCTGGGCTGAGAAGAGGGTGCGGCAATATGATGTTCATCTCCATCTTTTGCTTTAACTGGTTGGCTCTCTTGTCTAACAGGCGTGTGCACCTCAGCAGCATCCTCTCCGTGTGAGCTAGAAGAGAGGGAAAACCACATGAAGGATATATCCACTAATTGGCATTTCGTACAAACATGGTTAGGAAACCAAACAATTAGCGAGGCATGCGAAGCACAAACAAGAGGATTAAGCAGAGAAGCAGACAAAGATGTGCCCCCTAGTCTGCTCTTACCCTCTGCACAAAGGTTTTGTACCCTCCTCGGCAGAGATTTTTTCAGGTGTAACTTTCCCACTTCTCCCTTCTAGCACTTTCCATAGAGGAATCTCTGCATCAGACAGCCTCTGTTGAGGTGGCACCACCATCGAGACCTCTAATATAACTGCTTTATTCTGGGCTGTTGGCTGAACAGCAGGGCCAGGCAGAGTACATGTGGCAGAGTCTTTCTTTTCTGGCACAACAATGTTTGACAGTGAACCCTCGCTTATGAGAGAAAGTTGCCCAAGACTGGAGAGAAAGAGGAAAAGTGAATAATAGAAAGGAAAAACAGGAAGAAAAGGAGCAGAGGACAGCCATTATTATAAAAAACAAACAGAAGTAGGGGTGAGCGATGACGGACAGCTGAGATATACCAGGGGCAAGACCACCGATATCAGTACCAGTTATTACAGCAGGATGCAAACCTCCACCAAAGCTGCTCACTCTCTGGGCAGTATGTACTTCTAAGGGAACAGTACTGTGTTTTGTATATATTCACTTTATTAAGCTGAATACCTTCAGCTTACTATAAAGCATTATACTATATATATTATATATATATTACATAAATTATATTTGTCTTCAAAGATGTAACAACACATTTTGGAATTAACTTAAATAAAAAGCAGATGTGAAATGTAAAAGTGAGGTCAGAGGTCAAATGTGACCTGATATTTGGATGCAAACTATAATTTAAGTGTTATTTATAATCCCCATATGCCAGTATCATTTCCTGAACGTTGCCAATACAAACAAAGGCAGCTTATTTGACCTTTCACAAGAGGTCAGAGGTCTAAAGTAACCTTATACTTAGAATCGCCATTGATCATTCCATGTATGGATATATGTTGTCAGTACAAGCAGTGGCAGTAAGAAACATAGTTTTAAATAGATCTATATAGCATTATTATAAATTTGGCCATCAGATCAATATTTTGAACTTGAAAGTGAGATGATATTTTAAATGTTTATACAGTACTATGTTGACAACACATAGTACACTTGTAAGAATCATACATTATAAATTTTAAGCCTTTTGTTGACTTTCAACCAATAATTCATCTTTGTGTTTAAGTACAGAATAACACACATGGGAAAGCTACAAAAACATGACCTCCTTGGCAGAAGTATTAGGCGAGAGAGCAGAGAATCCTGAAAAAATCACCACAAAGTAATCAGACGGATTCAGCTTCACGCAGCTTTAAGTCGGAAATAAGTGATTTTTAAGATCATGAACTCAGTTTCAAGTTTTGAGTCTCTCTGATTTCACTTGCTGATTAAAGAAGAAGCCATCTGTGTTTACAGACCACACAAAGCGCAATCAGCACGCACAGAGTGAAATCACCACTTATTTCAGAACTATAACTCACCGCTCGCTGGAGTTTGGTTTACGAACTGATGGAGGGGCATTCTCTCTGTCTTGTGATTGGTTGGGAATTTGTGAGGGAAGCTGCTTGGATGCAGTGCTGCTTTTGACCAGCGGAGGGAAGTGAGGAGCAGGAAGTTTTGTTTGTGTCACATTTTTAAGAGCCGTGTTGGCGTGTTTGGTACCAGCAGGGGTCGTGTGTGTGTTTAACTCAGAAATGGACAAGGAGGAAACTGTTTTCATCTTTTCTTTGTCTTCATCTGACTTGTTGGCCTCCAGACTGCAGACCGATGCTGCTCGAGCCTCCTCCTTCTTCTTTCTTCTCTCCATCTCCTCCTCCTGCAGCTTCTGCTTTTGTTTTTCTTCATTCTTTTTCCTGTCTTCTTCCTCTTTCATTTCAGCTTTCTCTTTCTCCTCTCTCTGCCTCTTCACCTCATCTTCCTTCTTTTTTCTCTCCTCCCCCTCCTTTTTCTTCTTCTCTGCCTCCTGTATTCTCAGCTCCTCTTGAAGTCGCCTTTTCTTTTCTTCTTTTTCCCTTTTGATTCTCTCCATTTCCTCCCTTTGTATCCTCTCCTGCTCTTTCTGCTCCTTTATGAGCCTCTCTCTCCTCTCCTCCTGCCTTCTCATCTCCTCTTGTAGTTGCCTCTTCTTTTCTTCTTCTTCCCTATTAATTCTATCCATTTCCTCCCTTTTTATCCTCTCCTTCTCTTTCTGCTCCTTTAAGAGCCTCTCTCTCCTCTCCTCCTCTTCACGTCTTTTCTCTTCCTCTTCCTTTTTCTTCCTCTCCATCCTTTCTATCTCCTTCTCTCTCTCCTCTTTGAGTCGTCTCTCCTTTTCTTCCGCTTCTCTCTTCTTTCTCTCCTCTGACTCTTTGAGTTTTTTCTCCTCCTCCTCCCTTTTTCTTCTCTCTTCCTCCTCTATTATTTTCTGCTGCTCCTTCTCTTTGGCCTCTTTCAAGCGTTTCTCCTCCACCTTTCTTTTTTCCTCTTCCTCCGCGAGCCTCTTTTTCTCTTCCTCCCTTCTTTTTCTTTGCTCCTCAACTGCTCTCCGCTCCTCTATCTTTTTCTCCTCCTCTTCCTTCATCTTTTTGATGAATCTTTCTCTTTCAAGTCTTCGCTCCTCCTCCCTCTGGAGTTTTTCCTTTTCCTCCTCCAGCTCCAGGAGTCTCATCTCTTCCTCTCTTTTTCTCCTCTCCTCCTCATCTCGCTTCCTCATCTCCTCTTCTACCCTCAATTTCTCCTGTTTCTCTTTCTTCTCCTTCAGGAGTCTCTCCTCCTCACGTTTCATCCTTTCTTTCTCCTTCTTGATCTCTTCCTCCTCCTGTAAGAGTCTCTTCTTCTCCTCTTCCAACAGTCTCTTCTTCTCTTCTTCATGTTTTCTCCTCTCTTCTTGCTTTAAGAACATGGCCTTTTGCTCTTCCTCTTTTCGCCTCCTTTCCTCCTCTTGTTTCTTTTGAATTTCTGCCTCCCTCTGCTTCTCCTGCTCCTTTGCGATTGCTGCTCCCTCTAATTGCTTTTCTCCGTACTTCTTTTCATTGGTTTTTTGTTCAAGACTGCAGAACAGATACACAATATACCTTAAGGCTTTATTTCTCTGTCTGCGTGTATCACCTTCATCATCACTTCACATTCTGCAACCTTAGAATTTGTTTTTCGAAAATAATTATTCCTGATTGCATCCTTGAATATAAATACTCACCCTGGGGGACACCTTTTGATAGTATCGTGCTTAGAGTCATCCTCTTCCAGAAACAAACCCCTTGATTCTTGTCTCTGGTTAGGCGACTCAAAGATGACATCATCAAAGTCAGGCTCTGGCTCTGGCTTTGCCAAGGGCGGCTTTTCTGTGTTAATGGAGCTACTAATACTCTCACTGGAAGGCTTTTTAACATCAATTTGCTCTGGAACATTGGGCTGTTTAGGAGTTATAAATGCTGCCACGACAGTGGTGGAGGGCTGCTGGGGAGTGGCGCGCTCGCAGGAAGCAAAGGGCCAAGGAGGGGGTGGCGCTATGATCAGCTCTGAGCGGGTCTGGGGAGGACTAGGGACAGAAATATTGGAGGTCAGGCTCAACAGATAAGCAGCTGAGATTACAGAAAGCTGAGAGTGCAGACCAGACCAGGATATCAAGGCAACAGGAGGCAGAAATCAAAGCGCTTTGCAACTGTTGGCATATGTTAGCATCATGGAAGCACAATCACAAACAAGAAGCAACTGTGATGCGCTGGGGAAGTGCACACTGACAATTATCGTAGTCCTTCATCTAGAAACATGAACAGCAGGCTGAAGCACTAATTTGGGGATAATTTGGATGATCGTTAGAGCTGATAAGCCAATGATCAATGCTCCTTATTAGGTTTTTATAGTTTGTTCCATTTTTGTTTGAAAATAGGACCAAACAATTGTAGGAGCGTTGCTGTCCAGCAGCTATGTTATCAGTGGTATTGAATAGTTAAATCTGGGTGTCTTAGATGGCTGTTTAGGGAAATATGCTTATTTGTTGTCTTGCAGCGTTCACAGATTTCCACTAAACATGAAGCCTCCACCAGCAGACGGTTACCTTTGTACAGCATCAAAGTCCAGACTGACACATCAGACTGAGTCGATGAGCTCTTCTAAAACTCGCTTATTAGGAGCTCATATCTTGTTTTTGTTGCCAATCCAGGTAAACTGTTTCCCCTGCTTCCAGTTTTTATGTGAGCATAACAGCTTGAGGTCATTTGATTAATACTTGAGGTCATCAATTGAATTTTTATGTTTAAATCTGCCAAAAAAAGATTTCCTTATTCCTTAAAACAGTATCGCAAATTCAAACATACAGCACATCTAAGACTGCCTTTAAAAACAAATCAAAAAGATTACAGGAAGACGAAAAAAAAGGAAGTGAGCCTTCTAACTTTTTGTCTTTGTTTCAATATGAACAAGTGTTGTCATCTTTGCTGTTTCTCCTGCACTCAGTTAGATCTGCTCCCAGTCCACAAGACACAGCGTAACCTTTGCGGTCTGACAGAATTTCCACTCACACAGCAGTTTCAGGCCAAACATATCTTCAAGGCACCAAACCTTGCAATCTAAATTTATCCCTTCATGTGATATCGTCCCATGACCTCACCTGATCCGCACTGGTCCAACTTTGTTTTCTGCGATGGTCACCTTTGAATCCTGGGCTGCTCTGACTGGCTGAGTGGACATCTTGCTGTGTAAAGCTGTCCCTTTGTTTTTGGGGGAATCCTTGGATTGCTGCAGAGGGCTTGCGGCTGCTCCTTTCACTGCTGAGGTCGTTTCCTCATCCACCTGAGCGAGGGGGAATGTTAAGCCTATACAGAATGAGAAGGAAAGATCAGAACATACTTTGCACAAAAGGAGGAAAGACTGTTTTTGCTTTAAACTGGATATTTTCAGATAGAAGAATGAGGAAAATGTCTTTGAAATGAGGATGATTTGCAGGCCAGTGTACCTGACCGACTGGAGCTGGTATGTGCTGGAGGAGCAGAAGGACGAGTTACAGTGAGAGGTGAGGAGAAAAAGGCAGGCTTTGGTAGAGAAGAGGATTGAGTGGGTGAAGTGCAGAGGATAGAAGCAGGACAGACTGGAGCCACTGGGTCACAGAGGGCATCAAGATCAGGACTAGTTAACAGAGGAACAGGGGCGATGTCCCCATCAGCTCTAACAGAGTCAGATTTCAACTTTGCTCCGTGAGCACCTGGAAAATGAGAAGGAATGACAGGAAGGATGATTTCCAGGATGAAGACAGAGGAGAAACACTGAGAAATAACTACAGAACCTATGAAAGATCAGAAATAGGAAAAGCTGCCTTCAATTACCTGACTCTGAGCTAGAGGTGGGAGATTTTGGAAGAGGGGGTACGGATGAAAGAAGAGGGGCATCAGAAGAAAAAGGAGAGGGAGAAGTTGGGCGGGCGACTGACTTGACAATTTGAGGTCTGAAAATGTGAGAATGTCCTGCCAGAGGATAACACAAAATGTTTAAGTTATTAAACAGAGAACAGAGAGGATAAGCATTGCTTTTGTTAAGACTGTAAACACAGAGACAGACCAGAGGCTGAAGCAGAATCATCTGCAGTTTGAACCTCTGGGGGGCGCCACTGGTATGAAACAGGAGCTGAGGAGAAGAGAAGTGTGAACATAAGAGGAAGAAAGAAAGACTAAAGTTGGTATAAGGAAAGAGTGAGCTAACAACATTATTCCAGTTTAAAGACATAGAGAAAAGAGTTATATATATAAGAGTTTTATTTTATTCACTTTATAACTATGAAATCCTTAAAAATGCCTTCTCGGGTCTGTATCTGTATGTGTTTTTGCATGTAGTTTTACAGGGCCAAAAGCTTTTTTAATTCTTTTCATTTATTAAGCCACTTAAAAATGACCTATGAATCACTGAAGGATGAAAAAGGCACCTAACTCAAGGGATGGACCAGTGTTGTGTTTAAACAGAACAAACCTAGAAAATAAATGGTATCTTTAAATCTTTAGGCACTTTGTTGCTGGCTGCCTGTCGCAAAAACACATCTTTTCTTCATTCTTATCTCTTCAAATTGTTGTCTATATGAAGAGCTACTGTCAGAGTCAGTCAAGTATATATTTGTAATAGTACATAAATGACAGATGGGTGGCTCATTTAAATATATAGATGTAACTAACGCCTGTACACGAGCCACATGGATTCAGTTACATGAAGGATTAAGCAAACAGCTAATATTCGACAGACAGAGCAGACTTTGAATGTTGACAGATGTTAAATGAAAAGAGGCAAACTATTTAAAAAAATGAATATAAGAATGAGCATAAACAACTAATTTATCTTGCTCTGAGACAGTCACACAACATTCAGATGTTTCACTCAAAATTCTGAAATCATCACAAGCTGAACATGCATATAGCATCCTCCCAACACAACACAACAGTCCATTCTCTGTTTCACTCTATCTGTTTCCATGGGCATGAAGCTAAATCATACAAAAGTGGAAACGAAATCAGACGGTCACACATGCAGCATGCCTACCAGCCAGCCTCTCATTACCTTTTGCAGAGCCTGACTGGAAGATTTTTGGCAGAGAGGGAGGCTGAGAGATGGTCCAGGTGAGTGGAGGGTGAGATGATGGAGGTTCAGAGGACAGGGTAGATTTTGTTGGGAAGGAAGATTTGATAGAAAGGGGCTGGGAGCCAGTGGATTTGGGTTTATGCGGGAGAGAAGTAGATACGGTTAGTGAAGACTTCTGTAAAGTGATGGAAGATGATGTTACAATGGGCTCAGGTGATGACGGTGAAGTGGAGGGAAGTTTGGGAGGTACAGAAGAAATGCTCGTGGGAGGTACACAGGCAGCCTTTGAGGACAGAGAAGAGGGTGTGTTTGAGTCTGCAGCACCTTCACTGCAACTGGATGAAGAATTCACAGGAACTGACACCAGTGAGGCAGGAGGTAAAGGAGACACAGATTCAGAGGATTTAGGAGATGGAGTGTGGGCGGGCACGTCAGGCAGAGGAAGGACAGAAGGCATACTCTGGATTGAAGGAGCATCTGCTGTGATCTGGGAGCTTGGAGCTTTAGAGTCAGTCAGAGAAGAAGCTTCAGGAAGAACAGGATTGGCAGATTTCTTATGCTTGGACCTGGGTGATGGCTGAGGGGAGGGGCCAGGGGATGGCTGGATCTCTGACTGGACAGGAGTAGTGGACAAGGGATGTCGCGAGCGGCGTGGAGAAGGGCGGGGGCCAATTGGTAAAGGAGGCCGGGAGTGCACAGCGAGACTGGAAGGACCACCATCACTTCCACTGGCTGCATTAATACATGGAAGGATGGATAGAAGGATAGATTAATGAAAGTAGATTAGAAAAGAAAGAGGAAGAAAGAAAAGAGAATGAAATGTGCATATGAATATGATGCAATGGAATGGCAAACTAGGATACTCTTGAGATAAGCCTATGGGTATTCTTTCTTAGGTGTGATACAAGAAGAAATAACCCAAAGTCCATTTATAAATCTTCATTTGGACAGTTGTGGTCACAAGTTAATATCTGACCATCATTGGCATGAACGTCATGATAATTTTGGGGGTTTAGTGATTTCTTTGAATTGTTCTTTTTCCAGGGTGGAATAATTGTGCAGTAAACATCTATAACGACTTTATTTAGGGTTTTCTCTAATTAACACAGGGTCAAAAGAAAACATTCAGGCTCAAATACACCCGCACAATTATTTGGTTAAATGCTCCTCTTGACCTGATGATTTTGGTAGCCATCAACAAGCTTCTGGCATAATTCTGGCTGGAAGTTTTCAGCAGTCTTCTTAGCAGAATTGGCAGAGTTCATTTAAATTGGTTGGTTTCCTGGCACAGACCTGACTTTTAAGTGTAGTTCCCAAACCTTGTGGTAAAGTGAAAGAATTTAGAGGTCATCCTCCTTCTTCATTATTTCATAAACGTTGTGTAATCTACCAGTAACACTGGCAGCAAAACAGCCCTAGAGCATGACGCTACCAACACCACCATGCTTGACAGCTGGTGCATTGTTCATAGGTTTGAAAGCCTCGCCTTTAGTACTCCAAACATACCTCTTGTCATTTTGGCGAAATAGTCTGATCAAAAACTTTTTTTCAGAAGATATTTGGCTTCTCCACGTGAGGAGCTGCAAATCAACTTTGGAGCAGAGGCTTCTTTCTTGCTCTGCACCCTCTCAGTTCATGGTGATGTAAAACTCACTTAACTATGGACAGTGACGCTGGTGTTCCAGCACTTCCTGGTTCATAGCAGGCCTGAGCCTTGATGGTTCCTGGTTGTTCCTGAACACCTCAACCACATTCCTCTCATCCGACAGTGACAGTTTGGATTTTCTTTAACACCTTGGCAAAATGTGCTTTTATACAATTATTTGAACTGATGATCTTGGAATTGTTGTTTAGAAGCTGTTCACAGCTTGTATAACTCTACAACCTACAGCTATGCTGCAAAGAGAAACTGCAAGTTGTAGTAAATCATGATCACTAAAGAAAAGCTAATAGGCACTGTCAAGCTAAAAGATACTGTAGAGCCTTCAGCACCACTTGTTGAAATATTTAATTGGAAGAACTCCTCTGCGTCTGAATGTCTCTCCAAATTCAAATACAACGTAGTTGCAGCAAATAAAAAAGAAAACCGTATGAAGCAACGCTAATGTCTGTTTGGACACAAAAACCTCAGCGTGTTCAATGCTGTCTCCGCGTAAACTTCAGTATATTGGTGGCAGTATTTTACCATCACATGATTCCTAATCGTGTTTAGTATGTGGACGAGAAATATGTGGTGTCCAAAGGACTGTCCATTCATGCAGTAAGGACCACAGAATAAATGACAGAAGTATGTGAAATACTGCAATATATATAAACTTAGCTAGCCAGTGAGAGACAGGCAGAGATGCAAACAGTAAGTGAGAGTAGCAAGGGGGGAGAAAGCGCTACCTGAGGATGGCAAAGTGGATGCCGTGGAGTGTCGCTTGTCAGGTGGAGGGGGAGCAGGGCGATTTGGACGGGTAAGAGTGTGTGGGACAACTGGAGCAGCAGAAAAAGGGCAGAGTGGAAAAACATACGGAAATAAGAACAGAAAAGGAAAGCAGAGGAAAAGGAAATGTCAAGAGGTCAAAAAACTGTGTTGGTGTAATCCTGCCTACCTGTGGCAGTCACAGACTTCTTATCTTCCTCTTCATCGCTCTCATTGAAGTCGTCCAGGTTGCCGATATCTGTGGGTTTGACGCTCATCAAGCTGGCAAGACTTTGCATGTCTTCATCACTGAAGAACAAGAAAAACACGCACCACAACCTCATTACCAACCCCACCAATAGGAAGCACTCTTTATGAAAAAAAAGTGTTTTCAAATGCTTTTACTCTTTAAGCTATGACTCATTTATTAAACTCAGGTTAAAAGTGCTATTGTCACACCTCCCTGATGTAAGAGTAAGTAAGTAGTGGTAACTTAAACTACTCACGTGGCTTTTCCCTCTCGAATAAAGACACATGAGAGGGACAGCTTGAGCGTGGCCTCCACCACTTTGACAGACAGTGGCTTCAGCTTCAGCGTCAGGTCAGTCTGGGTTAGCGTGGGGCTAGCAAACCGCTTCAGGTTGATGTCAGCGGATGCCAGCACCTTACGATGACCCTTATTTTCCTGTAAATAACACAAACAAGTATTATATACAATATTCTTTGATTTCTACTTGGTGATTAAGCTGTCTGAGTCTGAATTTTATAACTGGATGTCTGAGCTATTTAGGTTTGGCTATTTTATTGGCAAACCTTTTGTTTATTTTTCTACTTATAAACAGTTTTAGTCAGGCATAGAGAGATACTTACACCCTCAATGACAAAGGTCCATTCTTTGTCTTCAAATTCATCAGCATTGGCATCCTGAGGGGATTATCATAAAAATACAGACTGTTTAGTGGGACATCCTCCTAAAATCGTATCCACATATCCACACATATGCCAGAGTCTTCAGGTGTACTACATAAACTCTATAAAGTCCTGTGAAAAAAAGGAGTACATGCAGTACACTGTTACTGTGTCCAGGAGGGAAGGAATTATCTGGTTTTAATTCTAGGAGATTAAATAATCACTAACACACGTGAGCACCTCAATAGAAGCTGGAGTTTGGGCAGTTTCCTGGTCTGAAAGACTGGACTTTGCAACGCTCAGAAAGCTACTTTCAGTTTTTTCCCTTATTCACAGGGAGTCACCAAAGTAGGTAACTCTGCATAATAAATGTTGCAGCATGGCTTAGCTTTGCAATGCTGTATCTTAAAAAACTACAAGACTTCTGGAACAATGAGATGATACCAGAATAGAGATGTTTAGCCATATTGCACAGCACCGAGTTTGACTGAAACTTCTGTCTGACAGCTACAGTCTGGCTAGAATTATGCAGTTTATCAAGCACAGCAACAAATCTCCAACAGAATGACTGAAAAAAAGTCAGAATTCAGATCTCATCTTGATTTAAATGCAGTGGCAGGACCTTAAGAGCACTGTGGATAAACAAATGGAAACTTCTAGCAAAAAAAGAGTAGCCCAAATTCCTCCACAGCGATGTGAAACACTGATAATGTTACACAGAAAACAATTACTTCAAGTTATTTCTGTTAAAGATGGATTATAAGCTGATGATTCATGGACTGTACTTAGGACTGATTTGAGTCCTGTGGAAATGACCTTTTTCACATGACTGTATATTGAATTTATTTAAAAGATGGACTTAAAAGCAATTCCAGTGCAGCCAGCACTTAAACATGCATTCTTTTTAAAGGCCAGCAGAGAGCAGCCCCTTTAGCAAAAAGAAGACTGGTTGTTTTGAAGTCTATGGAATAATAAGCCTCTGTTCCCTTGTCTGTGACCTCAGTCAACACTTTCCTGCTGAGTTTATGGTCTTAGATGCTGGTCTTGACTCTTATTTACTAAAACACATTTAAATTATAGTCCCTTTTGGAGATACAAAGGATGATAATGAAAGGTATATCCATCATGTTTGGCTTCAGAATGCCAAATTGTCAAAATGCTTAGTTCGAAGTTTTACAACAGGACTTTGTTAACCCATGTTTAATGTCATAGTGTCTATATTCATCCTTATATATACTTTTCCACACTTACCGACCGCTTTTCCCGCATATATATTCGACATCTCTTTTATTCTGAGCAATTAAACTCTTTATCTATATTACTTCCACACCTTAAATCGATTCGGAATCACCAAACACCCTAAAATGACTAGGCATGACTAGACAGTGGGAGGAGTACCTGCAAAAACCCCCACACAGGAACAAGGTCCAGAGTCACACAGCAGACCAGTTAGAACATTTGAAGCCAGAACCTTCTTGCTATGAGATAATGCGACTAACCACTAACTAACCATGGTGTTAACTTGACTCTAAGGAAAGCCTAAGTTTAAACTTTGGCTTAATAAAGTATTCTAAACTACTGAAGGATTAAAAATGATCTTTCTAAAAGGGACTTTTCGTAACATTTAGGGCCACAGTAAACCATTCACACAAGGATTAACTTGTTCAAGCCACCCAGAAACAACTTGTGCCCTGACCTTTGTTATATGTTTCCCTCATTTATTCAGGTTTTTCATTTACTTTGTTATTACATTGTAAATAGTACACTCTGTACACTGGGTGTTGGTACCTTGAAGAGAGTAACAGAGATGTCGATGTTTTCCGGGACAGGCCACACTACCATGCCTCTGTAGGGGTTCTTGATTCCAGGTTGCCAACTGTGGAGCTGCACAAGAAATAACGCATTAACAGAGCTGTGAGGAGGTGTGTATGTGTTTATGTGTGCGGTGTTTTGGTGACTTCACCTTGGAACACATTCGTCTGTTCCTCCTGGTCCACACCACCCTCAGCTTGTCTGGTTGCCTAAAGAAACACGAACACACATCAAAACAGAAGTGCCATTTTCCCTCAGGCCATTGTACGTCAGTCATACCTAATACACTCTTTGCTCATAAGCAAGCGAGTTCTCAGAACAAAGTAGACACGATCCAAACTAGATAACACAAGTAAGAGATCTTGTGACTGCTGAATAATAATTCCTCTGTGCCAATGAAAGAACATGAAGTGTGTTTATTTGTGAAGATGGTTGTCAGCAAATCTATGCAGGTCTGTGAAGATGTGATGCTGTGCATTTACGTGTTAAAGTGTTAGAGTACAACAAGTTACCACATGAAACATGTTACAAGTGTGTACCTGTCTTTTTGTAAATGTGTGTTTTATAACATCTGTTTCTGTGTTTCTATTGTATTTCTCAGCCCTCTGTGGCACAGGAAGTGAGACAGGAAGCTGCACAGTCGTATGACCTAAATTTGTATGACTATAAGGCGTGCCTATGACAGGAAGAGAGGAGCCCCCATAACAGGACACAAGATACTAACAAATGCAGGCACCGATCCACATAATACCCCTTTGGGCCGCCACTAATACTACTACTAATAGTAGTAATAAATGTCAATAATAGTGCTATAACAATGTTATAGATTACTCATATTTATTCCTTTGTCTGGGCCAGGGGAAATAATAATTCTGTATGTTGTCTTGCAGCACTTTACCGCACTACTTTTGAACATTTTTAAAAAGTGGACAACAAAAATATTGTAATAATACAGAGAAAACCCTAACAATCAGATGACACCCTATGAGCAAGCACTTGGTGTCAGTGGGAAGGAAAAGCTCCCTTTTAATAGGAAGAAATCTCTGGCAAAACCAGAATTATAGTGCATCATGGGAAGCCCTGAGCAACTTAGGTCTATTGTAAGTGTAAGTAAGGGAGGGTGCAGAGTTATTTGATCCAGTCATAATTATAAGCTTTATCAAAAAGGAAAGTTTTAAGCCTAATCTTAAAACTGTCTCCAGAATCCAAACTGGGAGCTGGTTCCACAGAAGAGGAGCCTGAAAGCTTAAGGCTCTGCCTCCCATTCTACTTTTAAAAATCCCGCAGTCTGAGAGCCAAGTGCTCTCTATGAGTCAAAGAGCACCGCTCTCACCGCTATGGAGGAATAACTCATAATACTCTTTAAATCTCATTGCTAAGCCCTACTACATTACATTTATACATGAAGTATTCCAATACATACAAAAACGACAGCAATAGTTTTTAGATGGTCCATGTGGTCTCACGTTTCAGTGCATCAGTGTTCAAGTATGGCTGAGAAGGCTTTGTGAGCACATGTGTTTGTGCGGTATGTGTGTCAGGGGGTCAGGGAGTGCCATTAGAAATAGCCTGGTAGGCACAGAGATGCAGAGGAGACGGAAAGAATACATTAAATAAAAATCAGAGACATTAACATTTGCTGAAAGGAAATATAATCTATAATACGAAGATGCGAAAAGATCTATTGGGCACAGTTACAATGGGCAGCGGTGGAGAGTTGACACTGGTTTTAAAGAAGCAAACAATGGTGGTGCAATACAGCTCAGTAACATGTGATTACTGCACACCACAGCTCAACAGACAATAGTTTTCTTATCCCACGACTGCTTAGATGAGTGGTAAACATGACTCGCCTCTGTGTTGAAATGTCCGCATGCAGCGCTAAGTGTTAGATATAAGCGTAGCTGTTTCTTCAGCAAACCTGCTCACTTACTCACCAACATCTCTCATGGTTTGGTCACATGAAGCGTTTCTAAGACATAAAAATAGTCTTGTTGCTAAGTCTTTTATTATGCCTGTGTCACTTCACCGCCTCTGTCAACATTAGTTCATTTTCTAAATGTTGTCTCCGGGTCCTTTTTAA